CACTAAGTAATGCCGCAGCTACCCAGAGTAAAGACAACAATTGGAGAATAACAGCATCACAGCTTCAGGCTGTGCTCAACTTTGCACAAGACTCACAACGGTTTAAGAATAGAGACAATCCTACAGCATAGAACCTCTACACCACTATCCCCTCCTACCCTACTATCCGCTCCCGTTACCTTCCTTTTTCCTCCCAGATTGACAAATCACATGTAAACTAGTAGCAAAACTCTTGAATAGTCGTAGCCTGCATATCGCTCAGGGCGATGGGTCAGGGTAAATAAATACAACTCAACTCAACTCAACTCAATCACTCAATCGACTCATAACCAGATTGACAAATCACATGTAAACTAGTAGCAAAACTCTTGAATAGTCGTAGCCTGCATATCGCTCAGGGCGATGGGTCAGGGTAAATGAATACAACTCAACTCAACTCAACTCAATCAACATATTTTCCGTACTCGGAACGAATACGTAAATATATACATCTGCGCTTATTCCAGCTAAGGCCCTGTGGCCACCTAAGCTGATGCGTGCATTGTCCTTTGGTACAATTTTTCAGGCCTCTCGCAACTTCACTAGCCTTTGATGATGCGTCTGCCTCCTGAACCGGATAATCAACGAGCTGTCTCGGCCCGGGTGACCGTGATACAAATACCTCTGTTCCTCTAGAGCAAATAGATGCTAAATTTGTTTCCGACAGTCGACTAAACATGTTGCTCGAGCATGTCCTTACGCATTTCTTTGCAATCTCAGTGTTCGCGCTCCTTGTTACCGCACAAAGCGACAACAAATGCGAAGATGCCAGATACACGTCGAAGCAGCGCGTCTTTGTCTTCACAGATATAAACAACGAACCCGACGACCAAATGAGCCTGGTGAGGTTCCTGATTTACGCAAACGAAATGGAAATCGAAGGCATCGCCGCCGTCACCTCCGCCTTTCTCTTAAACTCGACCGACGCGCCCACGATCCGCAACGTCATCACCGCATACGGAAACGTCACGGAGAACCTCAACGGCAACGTCCCCAGCAGCAACGCATATCCGAGCGCGGAAGAGCTCTTGAAAAAAGTCTACAAAGGCCACTCGGTCTACGGTCTTGAATCACTGAAGCAAGACCCGAGCGCCGCTGCTCTCGCTCTTATCGATGCGGTCGACAAGTCCGAAAAGCCGCTTTGGATCACAGCCTGGGGTGGGTTATCAGTGCTGGCAGAGGCACTGAACAAGGTCTCAAACAACAGAAGCGCCAACGATACGACAACCTTTGTCAAGAAACTCCGCGTCTACTCCATCTCCGACCAAGATGATGCAGGACCATGGATCCGCGAACACTTCCCTGCCCTCTTCTACATCGTGTCCATCCACGCATTCACAGACTTCAGCCAAGCGTCATGGAACGGCATCGGTGGCGAAGACTACCGGCACTTCGACAAGGGCGGACCAGACACGAGCCTTGTCACAAACGACTGGCTCGAGCAGCACATCCGCGTCGGCGTGCTCGGCGCCTCCTACCTCAACTACTCATACGTCATGGAAGGCGACACGCCCTCGTTCCTCCCGCTGATCCAGAACGGGCTCGGCGACCCCGAGCACCCTGAGTATGGAAGTTGGGGCGGCCGCTACAAGCTCATCGACTCTTCGGGGAGAACGCAGACGTACGGCAACACGGCCGACTATGTCTACGGCAAGAGCGGCGAGCCGTTTTACAGCAGCTTTGCGACCATTTGGCGCTGGCGAAAGGCTTACCAGCACGATTTTGCTGCGCGCATGCAGTGGACCGTCAACGCCGACTATAAGAAGAACAACCATCACCCGGTTGTTGTTCTCAACGGCACTTGCGGTCCGGCTGCCTATGAAGTTACATACAAGGCCGGAGGTGACCTCGTGCTCGATGCTTCCGCGTCATGGGACCCGGACGATGACGACCTCGTGTTCAGCTGGCAGACGTATCGCGACATCACGGCAGTTATGGACGGGACTCGCGCAGAGATCTTCCCCAATGTCACTGTCACAAATATGAACGAGCAGGGAAGTATTGTAAAAGTTACTCCCCCTAGTCTCGGTCTCGTAAGTCAGCACCCACCGTGTATTTGAAGTATTTACTGACTTTTTAGACTATGCACCTTATCCTCTCCGTCGAGGACAAGAGGGATATGGGACTGACGACTTATAGGCGGATTGTTCTTAGCCAAGGTGAATAAGTGCTACCCGGGAAACTGCTGTAATAGACTTTTGTGTTTTATTATGCTACTTAAATGCAAAGGTTTTTTTTTTTTTTTTTTTTTTTTTTTTTTT